CAGTGTGAGTCTGATATAGTACACGCTAGCATGGTACGTGCATTGTCATGCTTGTCAACATGCTAGCTGAAATAAAATAGTTCAACATAGACGACCCATATCATATAAGAGATCGACAAACAGAGTGACTGGACCGAGTGCAGTAATATCATAATTGGCAATTAGGGACGGTGTATGCAGATTCTTGACTGCTTATGAGGCTTAATCGTATACGTATTTACAGGTACAACGATGCAGCAAAGACAATATCCCGCTTTATCCTCTCTATTCCGCCTTGAAATTTGCTGGCAAGCTCTGTTTCTCCTATGGACTTCGCAGCTGCACACAGTTGTCGCAGCAACTCTTCTATCCTCCGAAGCGCTCGGATGAGAGAGCCTTCAAAAATCTCGGTCATCTTCATGATCTGCAAACAGCATGACGGTCGTGAGTCCTCCTGCCACTGGCAGCTACAAAGGGAGCATCATAGCCAAGCAAGCTCCAAGCATGCCGAAGACAAGGTAACTAGCGAGTAAGCTGAGATGAGGATCAAAACTGAACGGCTCAAAACTGCACTCGGGCGCTCCGAGGAGGTGGCGCACAAACAGCTTCAACAGACCACTTGTACAACCGCCGGGCAGGGAGTCCTTGTGTCGAGGACTACGGTCTTCAAGTCCATTTCGTAGTACCAGAAAGCAAGCCGAGAAGGGAAAGCTGCGCCCGGTCGGCGTTACGCAGCGGCGGGCGCGCACCTCTGCGAACTTGGCGCCCCGGCACCAGGCGGCGACGAGCTCCATGATGTCGGGCCGGAACTTGGCGACGTACTCGTCCACGTCGATCTCCATCTTGCACTCCTCCGCCACCTTGCCCACCCGCCCCGCAATGTCGCGCAGCGCGCTCAGCGGACCCGCCAGCTCCTCCTTGAGCCTGAACATGAAAACAAGCGTGAGACGATCGTGCTTAAAGATACCGCGGGCGCGGCAAAAGCGCAGTCACTAACGAGCAAACTCAGACCCCATAACCTCTATCTACCTTGTTTCGCAAATCAAGAAGAGAATTTCTGGTCTGCTCCAACGTTGCCTTCAGCAAGCCAGCCCCTGCTTCCATGAGCCTGCCTTCATTACGACATCTTGCTCCGCTCCCCACTCGTCACAGCGCATGTTCTGGAAGCCTCACCTGGTGGCTGCGGCGCCCTTGTTCTGCACCTTCTCCTGCCACACGAAGCACGAGAGCAGCGCGGTGGCCTGCTCCACGGACAGGTCCTGGAAGGCGCCGCTGAAGATGAGCTCCGTCAGCACCAGCTCGTCCGCGCTGCTCACCTCCGCCGCCACGCGCCCCTTCACCTCCACCACGTCCTCCGCGGTCGCGTACCCCAGCCGCCGCAGCACGCGCCGCCGCGCCTTCAGCTCGTCCTGCCAGATCAAGTGACAGGGTGTGAGTGGGTCAGGTCCAGTCTGAATGAGGGCTGACCGCCGCGCCAAAACCTGTCAAGACGTGCATCTCGGCAGACCGGACCGACTTTTCCCGGCCCTGTGAAGCACGGCCCGAGCCTGAACGTCCAAACTCTCAAGGAGACGACATGCAAAGAAATGCCTCATATCGTAGCCTCCTACCCTTGGAATCCGTACACAAAAAGTAAGCGAGCAAGTGCTGCCACACCCCAAACCCTTCGACATACATGTCGCTCTCTATTGGTGAAAGAGGCACGCATGAGCGACATCCAGATGGAAGCTACCTAACCGTTCAAAGTGCTTTCGGCGCTTCATGCTGACCTTGAGCACGACGGACTGCGCGGCCTTGGCTTGCTTGCGCATCGCCTTGAGCTGCGCGGCGAGCGCGTCTTTGCGCGCCAGGTCCTGTAGCCGCGGCCGGAGGCTCGGGCTGCGCGCGAGCGCATGGCCTTGTAGCAGCGCCTCCACCGTCTCCGCCTTGCGCATCACCTTGCGATACGCGCTGCCGTCCACCTGGCAGGATAACAACAAAAGGTTAACAAACCCCGAGAGCGTAGCGGCCATGTTTCATGAGACGGGTCCGCCTGACAATGAAGCGTCGTACCCAGCCTCCTTAGTCTACACACGCACAGACGATCTAGCGCAGACCTTCGGCGTGGGGTCCCGGTCACAGCGGATCGAGCTTGTCCTCGAGAGCTCCGCACAACGTAAATACTTCCGCACAACGTAAATACTCCCGCTCTCGTGAGTGCGACCAGCACAAACACCACTCAGTACACTCTGAACGGATGAACGCCATTTTGGTCGCAAGCCCGAGGTCGGCAAAGCCTGTGAGCGGCGCGCGCACCTGCATGTCGTCCTCGGGGTCCAGCGTGGGCACGCCGTCCGGGAAGCGGCGCAGCACCTCCGCCACGGCGCGCGCGGCGCGCTCGCGCGCCTCCAGTGGCCGCAGGTCCTTGGCGATGTACACGCGCACACTGCTCAGGTCGTCCACCTGCAGCAGCGGGCCAAAGGGAGGTGCTTCGGTAAGCGACCACTTGAGCCCGTTCTAAGCATCAACGTCTAGCTCTACGAGGGTGGCAACAACCAAAGGCATTCTGTACAAGGGAAATGTCATGCTCTTACCCTGAGCGCTTTTTGCCCCAGCAAAACACTCTTATCCCTAGCCCTACTGCACTCAACGTATTGGTAAATGGTCCAGCGTATTGAGGATCGGTCAGTAAATACAAGAAGAAATCCAGAGCAGCCATCCTCTGCTCTTTCAATACCGCAGGCAAAACTATAGCGCTCGCTCGTTTTTCAGCGCGCCGCACCTGGTCGAGCGGCAGCGCCACCACGGTGGGCTCCGCTCCCGGCGTGCCCTCCTCCACGGGGCGCATCACTTTCCTGCGGCCCAGCCCCGCCGTCTCGTCGGGCACGCACGGCGCGAGCACGTCCACCGTGTACTGCGGAAGACGCGGCCGGCCCTCCCCCGCGTCGCCCTTGGCTGTGTCCACTTTTTCGAAGTTGGTCACGATGCCCCACACCACGGCGGCGTCGGCTAGGGGGTCCGCCTACGAGTCATGGAGTAAAGTGTCAACGCCGAGACATCATTGAGCGGCCGAACAGAGTTGACACTCGAGGAAGAGCCCAGGACCAAAAAGCAGTAAGGAAGAAGGAACGGCACAGCAGAAATGATAGCTCAGGGCTTCAAAGCTCGTGGAAGAGCCGTCTGGTGCATGTCACCAACGCAGAGAAGAAACCAAAAGGTAGTTGCCGTTGCACAAAGCAAGGCGGCCCAGGGGTCGACGCTCTGACAGCAGCCCAGGTTCCTAAAAGCTATGCATAAAATAAGGGGGCGCCGCCTCTTTCTGCCCACGCGGCGGCCCCACCTTGTCCTCGTCTGCTGGAGGACAGAGCACCCGGATGAGGCGCCCCGGCTGCAGGAAGGGCAGCACGTGCTGCGGCGCGGTGACGATCTTTCGGTGGTCGCGGTGCAGCTTGCGCAGCTGTTCCCGCAGCTCCGCGTACTCGCGCACCTCCGCCTCGCCCTCCACCGCCACGCCCGCATGCTCCGCCTCCACCTCAAGAATGCGCGCCTGCATTTGGGCAAGATGGCAGTGAGGAGCGTAGCTGGCCCGGCGAAAAGCGAACTCGCAACAGAGAAACAACTATCCCGTGTTCATGACTCGTCATTTGTAGGGAACCCAACACTTGATGAGAACCCAGGTGCTAGCGGCGGTCCTTCGGACCTCCTCGATTCGTCAGACAGTGACCCATTGATCAGCACAAAGAGCTGCTGGGAGCCCCAAATTTGAACAGTTCACCGTCCCAGACGAGGCCATGGGTTTCTCAGCAGGAGGGCCTTGTGGGGCTGTCACCTGGAGGTCGGGCAGGGCCCTGTCTGCCTGGAACTGCTTGTAGCTGCGCTGGAGCAGGGCCTCGGGCGTGCTGTCGGGGCAGCGCATCTGGCTGAGCAGCAGGTTGTAGCTCAGGTGGAACGCGCTGTCCAAACTGTCCGCGCTTCCCTGCAGCATGCCCTTGGCCACCGCAGGCTCCATCTTCTCGTCCAGCATCAATATCACGATCCTGCGCGCATGGCACCGTGGCGAGGGCATTGAATGAAAGAGTCCGGCTCTCGAGCGGAGGAAACGATGCACGCGTCTGGTGCGGATCAATGGTGAAAGGCGAGGCTACCAAGGTAATCCAAAAACAAAGGGCCGAGCAACTCAACTCATAGCAGTCTTCAAGCGCCACCTTTACCTTGGGAAAGGCTCCCTGATTGGGTGTTCGCACTTCATTTCCTGGAATTGTAGGATCCGACCAACCGAGCCTGATCGGGGCTCGGTTTTGACCCATACGTTCGCCGGTTACTTTCGAGTCCGAGCACCGTCGACTCGATCGTAGTCTTCGAGCCCAAGAGAATTGAGCCCGAGCCTGATCGGATAGATGTAGACTCGATTCAAAACCAATCAGGCTCGGGCTCGACATGTCAGGATCGAACTGGGTTTTGTCCAAAAGATGCCAAACGCGAATACCCAATGAGCAGAGGCATCGATCCCAGGATCAACTTAAGATCTTCAGGCAAACTGAACGGACAAAGGAACAGGCGGCGGAGGCTCACCCGCGGTCGTCAAGGCCGCGGCGGCCGGCCCTGCCGCTCATTTGGATGTACTCCCCGGAGGAGATCCAGCGGAAGCGGTCGCCGTCCCACTTGCGCACGTTGGTGAAGACGACGGTCTTGGCAGGCATGTTGAGCCCGATGCTGAACGTCTCCGTGGCGAAGAGGCACTTGAGGAGGCCCTCCTGGAACAGGATCTCGATCACCTCACGCAAAATGGGCAGCAGCCCCGAGTGGTGGATGCCGATCCCGCGCCGCAGCATCGGCAGGATTGCGTTCACCTGCGGGTGGGTACAACGCGCATGTGAGACTGCGCCCAGGTCTCTCCGACGGTCGGAACTTTTATTAACTGTGGGCCGACGTCCTCTGACCGCCCCTCAGAATGTCGAAGTCGTCATATATCGCTCCTCGCACCTGATCGGCAACCAACGAGCATTGAAGTCTCGTTCCTTCGGGTCTGGTATGTCACTGAGAGCAACGTCGACCAATGTGGTATGACGAGGGAGGTACAATCATCTAATGGCACCGAGCAGCGACATTGACGTTCCCCCTACAACTACGAGGCGGTGACGGCGAGCTTACAGCGCTCTCGTCCAACTTACGGGACACAACCCACTTGCGAACCATATATCGCCTTGTCTGCGTAGTTATCCTTTCGCCCAAGTCGGAAGCAAAAAAGGGATGCCCCCAGGGAAGCAGCACGCGCGCACCTGCGGCAGTTTCTTGTCGTCCTCGGAGAGGCTGTCCATGGCGTTCCAGAACACCTCCTCGACGGCCTTGCGGTGGTCCTCGTCGTTCAGGTCCAGCTTCATCATCTGACGCGCCAGCGCCTCGCAGTCTTGCCGGCTGAAGCTGAACACGATGACCGGATCATATTGCCGCGTCATGACCATCTTTACGATCTTGAAAATGTCCGACGGGCCTGCGGGCGGCGCAGCCCCCTCGGCGCCTTTGGCCTTCTTGCGCGCCTCCTTCTTGGCGTCGGCGCCGGCCCCGACTGCATTGATGGCGGTCTGGAAGTTGTCCTCCCGAAAGTTGGAGCGCTCGTCGACCACGAGGTAGAGGCCCTCCCCGCCGGCCGGAAAAAGGTAGTGCTGGAGGGGGGTGGGGCGGAAGTCGGTGTACACAATGTGACATGGTTGGCAGTGCACCTGCAGAGAGGCGTCGGATCTCAGTGACTCGTTCAACTTGCTGCGACCGAAATACAACATTGAAACGGATGACTGGACTCAAGCTTCTCACTGGGCAGACGCACAAGAGACGAGATCAGTCAGCGACCCGGAGAAGGCACAGATCCTCAGCTTAGAAACAGGACAAGATTATCACAAGCAAGTTTTAACACCCCGAGATGTAGAATCTGGCCTTTCGACAACAACAAACGGGCTTAAGGCGCATCAGTCAATGGGGCCTAACAGAATGACAGCGTAACATCCCCTGCATCCGAATCTGAAAATCGAAACAGTTAGAATACACCGCACCTTGGCAACCCAGTCGGCAAACTCTCGAGCATTGGGGACGGTGGCGGACAGGAAGACGAAGCGCGCGTTCTTGGGCGCCATGACGATGCTCTCCTCCCACACGACGCCGCGCTCGCGGTCGCGCAGGTAGTGCACCTCGTCCATCACGATCCAGGCCACCTCGCGCATGACCTCGCTCCCCTTGTAGAACATGCTCCGCAAGATCTCGGTCGTCATCACCTGGACCAGCAGGGCGGCCATGTCGGCAGGGCGCAGGGGAAAACGTGCCCAATCAAAAGGTGATTGTCAAAGGTGGGGTTGCAAAGAATGATTGTCCACAGGGGGCCAGTCATGTTCCAGTCGTTTGCACCAAGTTCACCTGCCACGTTACTTCCAGCAATCCTCAAATCCCATGACAAACTTTAGCAGTTGAAAGTAAAAGGGGGCTGTGAAGCTTGTTTTGAAGTCAAATTCCCGCTTCCTTCGCCCCATCAGATTTATGACACTGCTCGCTTTCTGGAACAGACCTGCGAAGCATCGAGACACAAAAAGGGCGCCTCGACCACCGCCATCAACCTTCAAGTTCAGTACAACCCCGGGACACACTGACCAGGCAGGAGGCCTCTGGCTTGATGGTGACGTCCCCCGTCATGAGGCCCACATCCCGGAACTCCTCCGCCAGCTCGCGGTACTTCTGGTTGCTCAGCGCCTTGATGGGGCTCGTGTACACCACGCGCTGCTTCTCGCGCAGCGCCATGGCGATCGCATACTCCGCCACCACCGTCTTGCCTGCGCTCGTGTGCGCCGACACCAGCACCGACTCCCCCGCCTCCAAGCACTCAATTGCTTTGGCCTACATGACCAGCAGACCAAAACAGTTGGACCGCCCAGCCGCGACAAGAGCTGCCGCGCTGTCCAGTAAATCTGCTTCTTGATCAAATTGGCTTTCTTGCTGTGGCATTTTATCCCAAATGCTGCACCAGCACCATCAGAGTGAGTTTTCAGCTCCACCACCATTACCAATTGTCTAAGAATACCGCTCAAAGCATTTGACTGCACTACTACGTCTGCCACGAAGCTCACCTGAAAGGGGTCCAACACAAAAGGGTACTCTTTGGCAGGCTTGCTGCCTGGCTTGGGGGCCTTTGGCTGGTGAACTGTGCCTTCAGGTAGAGCCACCTCGTGTATCACCGTGGCTGGAGGCCGGTCAGCCACCAGCAGCCCCGGTGCACCATTCTGTGCTGCCGGTGGGCCGTCTGCCTCGCTGGGTCGAGGGACCTTGGCTACTGCTTCATCACCTTCGTCCACTGGGCCACCCTTTCTTTTTGTTGCGCCATGTCTGGAATCCATGCTGCGGACATCAGATTGGAAAGCAGCCGTTCTTAATGTCTGGACTCCAGTGGAAATGGAGGTGTGAGGCAACCAGAGGAAAAAGACAACTTCAAGGTCCGGTCAATGCCATCATGCACACAGCTGCATCATACATGTGCAAGGAGCCGCGCCAGGGTGATCACCCCAAACCCTAATGGGTGTCCAAAATTCATATCAATACAAAGTTTCACGCTTCTGGAGCCGCACGATTGTCCTAAATTGTCATGAGATGGCGCATCGAACGGATCAAGTTGGTCAGAAAAGTTCACAATCTTGCATAGCCTCGCGCCCCTAGTTCATCAAGCAACCGCCAAATGCACACTGCACGGCGAGAGCTGCGCAGCAGAGAGATTCGAGAACTGCAGGTGTGCTGTTCTGCGCAGTCCTGAGCCGGAGCCGCCGGTCCCTGCATTTTCGGATTGATTTGAGGTCTGTGCTAAAGCAGTGTGGAAGCCGAGCTGTCTTGTCAATCTTTCGGAGGCAAGGAGCTCTTCTGGTGCAAGGATTGTGCATCTCGGATTGTGTTTGGCTTGTAAGTTGTACTGGTTGAGGCTGTGCCTTTGTCAGCACTCTCTTTTCTGGCACGCTGGCGTCGGAGGAGGGATCGTCAGCGGACGGACCGCGGCGCAGCGGAGCACCCCTAAACATTCCAAGGCCGCGGCAACCCCGCGCTTCACCCATGAAGGCAGATCTGCCTGTGCAGCAGGAAGCCGAGAAGTTGAAGCATAAGAAGTTGTATGAAGACATTGGAGCATGGTGAGTGCCTTGTTAGTGGTCAATGGACGACAGCTTGGACATCAGGGGAGCCTGCCAAGGGTTGCTTTGGAGGTTTCGTCTTATTCAAGCAATCTGAGTACGCAGAGACTGTCGTTTGGTTAATCCCATGCCCTAACTGTACCACTAGTCATTGAAAGTACTTCATTCCATGCAGGCTCTTCAATGTCAGCAGCTCTGTGGGCATCATCATGATCAACAAATCAGTGATGAAAGTGTATGGCTTCAACTTCGGTGAGCATAACCTGATTGAGAGACTTTGCTCATCCCTAAGCCGCAATTAAGTCAGCAGTCATAAGGTCCTCCGTCGCCAAGATGAGAGAGACAGATTTGCATTCCGCCACTGAGCAACTTCTCGTGATGATCAGACCTGAGCTCTGCAAAAATGCGAATGCACCACCTATGTGGTGCTTGTAGGCTAGTAATCATGATTCGGTGTACAAGTTGTGGTTCAAAAGCACAGCCACTGCTGGATGAGAACACCTGAATGTGTGCTGGAAACTCTTTGCTACATTATGCACCAGCTGAAGACAAGCCATGCATTGCCTGGTTGCCGTCTTCTGGCCAGCCAAACCCTGTGTAATGTGACACTAGACCTTTTGTTGGAGATGTCAGGTGCTGGCCACTGACTCGATTGCCGTTCTTCACAAGCCCCCTTAAAATTGTATCTAGGCTCTGAGAAGTATTGGCCTGAAGTAGTGGCCTGGAATTGTGTACGACCACTTCCATCATGTGATAAAGTTGGGGTCAGATCCTCCATGTGGCAAGCCCATCTCAACCAAAGTACTCAGAATTGTAGAGAACATTGTGTTTCACCTTGCGGTCAAGTCTCAGACAATCCCAGGAACTCATGATGTCTCCCGCTGTTGTGCAGCTACAACGCTAACGGGATGCCATTTCTTGATGACAACGTTCCTGTCCTACATTCTCCGGTGGAACGGGTTCATCAAGGACACGCACCTGCCCCTCTTGGAGTTGCTCAACTTCTCCCTCGCCGCTAACTTTTCCGTCGTTGGCATGAATGTGTCGCTGATGTGGAACTCTGTAGGCTTCTATCAGGTATGTCTCGCCAACCTTGCAGTCATGGTCTCCATATTGTTGCTGCTCTGGCAAACAATTGTCCCCTCTCAGTGCCGACGCTGACATGTTTACGCATATTCGTTTTCCTTTGTTGTGTCAATCAGAACCTTGTCTGTGTGCAGAACCATTGACGGGAAGTATGATGCCCCCTCTCAAAGCGTTTCACTTCCTGCAGATTGCCAAGCTCAGCATGATTCCTGTGTCCTGCCTGCTTGAGGTCGTCTTTGACAACGTGCGGTACAGCCGGGATGTCAAGCTGAGCATCCTGGTTGTGCTGCTCGGGGTGGGCATCACTACTGTCAGTGATGTCAGCGTCAACTTCAAAGGGTTTGTAGCTGCAGCGGTTGCTGTGTGGTCGACGGCCCTGCAACAATACGTGAGCCCCACTTTCTGTCCACCCAATACTTTCAATCTAGAGCCCGAGTATGAGTGCCATAGTAGGACGATGGGGCTAAGAGATTACAGAATGTTGACACAACATCGTCAGTGTTGGCGAGCCGCATTATTCCCCAACTTCCCTGAATTGGAGGATTCAAGCTGTGGTGGGCCATCGCAACTAGAGGCTGAGAAGCAACCGGGTTGTTGAGCACAAAATAGGAAAGAGAATGGGGACCCTCATCAGCAAGTGACCCCTCGTCCGGCTTTCAGAATAGACTGAAGTGCCGTGGTGACCGAACAGGCTACTGCATGAGAGCCAGCCTAGCCCTTTGATGCTGCTCGTTCCCCTCCGTTGTGTCCAGTACGTCCACTCGCTCCAGAAGAAGTACAGCCTGGGGTCCTTTGACCTGCTCGGTCACACAGCCCCCGTGCAAGCTGCGACCCTCCTGGTCAGTGGGCCTCTCGTTGACTACTGGCTCAGCGGCCTCAACCTTCTCAAGTACGACTTCTCCACGGCCGCCGTGGTGAGACCCTACCCGATGATAATGCATGTTGCACTAGTGGCTGCTCTACGTCTGGGTTCCTCGTGGGAAGTATTATCAGGGACATTCTGCCCTCTGCGCGGATGAATGAACCAGAATGCAGACTGCCGTGTATTGTCTGGCGAATGTCGTTGATCTGCGAAACAGGCACGGAAATTGCGAGCGAGAAGGCTGGGACATGCTGTGACCGGCTGTCAGAACCGGAGTTGTCAAGCACAACGGTAGATTACTGTTGGCTGGTCGCATCTCAAAGTAGAAAAGGAGCTCTCAGAAGGGGTCGGAAGGATGGACTCTTTTGGTCCGTACGGCAGTGTTCGAACACCATGGGGGTCTAATTTCTGCGCCGCTTGTGTGTGCTGTGCAGTTCTTCATCACCCTGTCCTGCATTGTGGCCGTTGGTGTGAATGCGAGCCAGTTCATCTGCATCGGCCGCTTCTCCGCGGTGACCTTCCAAGTGTTGGGCCACATGAAGACCATCCTGGTCCTCATCCTGGGCTTCCTCTTCTTCAACGACAGCACCAGCACCCAGGTGACTGCGCAGCGCTCTGCATCCCGCATGTGCACACGTTGTCCACGGCTGTACGTCTTCGCTTGCTTTGATTGCGCCATTTCCGGCTACAGCGTCAATCTGTGCAATGAGCTTCCTCGCAGCAGTCTCTACTCTGCTTGTTGAGCCTTGCCTTTGTCAGCAACTCCGGTTGGTCCAGATTGATCCATCAACTGACATGTCCAGCACCCGTTCTTGCAGAAAATTCTTGGCATGACACTCGCGATTTGTGGGATGGTTTGGTATGGGAACGCGACATCCAAGCCTGGTGCCAAGACCGTGCTACCCAAGTCAACAGGGCCCGTGTACACTGAGGTTACGAAAGTTGTCGAAGATGAAGATGATGGTACTGTATGACAGCCTCCGCTCTCCCTACTGGCCCTTCCGTTGTCTGACGTAATCAAAACTGAAACTGAAACCATTGTTGACAAGCCTTGGAGACCGCGCTTCCTTCTCCTGAATCGAGATTCCTGAATGGCAGACAGCATGCTGGGCTGCGTTTGTCAATCCACTTCTCCAAGTGCAGATTGCCTTGAGCTACGGATGGTAGTACCAGGGCTATGGTACTCCAGATTGTATACTCCTTCGATCTAAGTTTATTATGGTGGAAATGCTGCCCCGCGTCACCAGTTCAAGCACATGGTGCGGTCTTGTAAAGGACAAGCATTATGCCAGCTGGGCATACATCCTAATCATATTGCATTATATTGGCACGCAGTATGGGTGCAAGTTGAATGCCAGCAGGTCCTGGGCCTGCGCATGCATGCTGGCCGGATTGGACTGGCAATTATAGCAAACGCGAATTCAGCGATCCCTGAATGGCGGCGCCGCCACCGTCCCACATGGCGCGCGCGGCACTGGAATGCACTGGCATTTCAAGTTCTTCGGCTAGCTAGGCCAGCTTCGACACACCCATAATCCAGCAATTTTCATTCAAGTCATGCATGAATTATGCACATGTCACTCAATCCAGTGTTTAATACACATATTTAATTCAAGCAGGTGTTATGACATGCATGCTATAAGAACGTGGCCACGGCGCACTGATTGAAAGTCTGAAAGCTATATACTCAATATATGATCCAATGATGGTGCATGGCGGCCGCCAGCTCCGGCCGGCCCGCCGCCCGCCGCGCGCGCACGCAATGAATGCACATATGATATGGCATATCCATATATACAGGCTCGGGCCCCATGAGTGCATGATCATGCGAGGGCCGGCAGCAGCTATCGCGGCGGCGCGCAACCGCGATCGTTGCTAGCCTGCATGCTCAATATCAGCTGGCAATATTCATGCGTATATGTGTGCTTGAGTCAATCTTGGATTGTGCATGATAAAAGAACCCGGTACCGGCCATTGTATATGCTACGCAGCTAGTTGCACACTGGACTCGACATGTGACATGGTTTAGTATTGAACCAGTTAATCGATCATGCATAAGTCTGTTGGTTCTGGTCACGATCAGTGCACGGCCGCTCAGTGTGGCTCACTGAGACCGAATTGAATTGAGCGGACAACAGAAAGTACATGAAGTTGCCCATATTTTTTGCTTTAGGACAGCGCCCATGCATCTAACGTTCGGAGACTGGCGGAGAGAGTATACTCAAGGATACCCATGAAAGGGTTGACAATGCGAGAATCGACGCAGCGTTTCGAGCCTTCATATCTGTGTTAAGTCTACCTAGTGAGGCACTCGCAACCCTTTCGTTTGTAGCACCCTTAGATAGGCCTCTTTCAGATCGTGGAACTTGCTTTGCGCCTCTCCCGAAGCTAGCAACAATGCGTCACTCCCCTTCGAAGTGCGGCACCCGTCTCGCTTTCCCTTTTCTGCGTAGGCTGCGTCCTTCGTTTGAGGAGCCTTCACAGCACGTGACGTCACTGGTGCCCAGGCCCAAGGTTTGGGAGGGCCGTCGAGGCTGCTGTCGCTACTGCTCAGACTCTGATGCGGAACACCCGCTTTCAGCGACGCCGTCGCCTGTACTTCCCCTTTTTCTGGAACGCCCGTCTGCCTTTCTCCAGCCCCAACTGGAACCCTCGCCTCCGCTCTCCCCTCGTTTGACGTCAGCGGCTCCGCGAAACTGATGCTCCGAGCAGTGGGCGCTCCCGCGTACCCGGGCCTCGCCTTGCCCGCCTGCGAACCCTCAGGCCCCCAGTCGCTTGCTTGTTCCTGCTTGTCTGGAGAGGTGTCCGGACTGGGCGTCAAGAACGACACACTGTCTTCGTCCGTTTCCTGTTCCAAGCACGACTCCGCCCCCGCACGCTGCCTCCCCACCCCGCCTTCTTGACCCCGCAAACCGTGCTCAGAACCTCGAACCAACCCCTGCGCTCTTGCAACAGGGCGACACCTGTCCGTAGGCGATTGGCCAGCCTCCCTCGTTCGAAGCCTGGTCTGTAGCGTCTCAAGCTCCCTCGTTAGTTGCAGCACCTGAAAACGGCAATCTTCGTACTCGGCTTGCGCAGTCTCCCGCTGCGCGCGCTCTTGCTCCGCGCTGCTCTCAGCTTCGGTCAGCCGTTTTCGAAGTGCCACCACTTCTGCCTGGCACCGCACCTGCAAAGTAAGTGGACTCAGTAAAATGGAACTCGCTTCAGCTATCAAGTTTTTGCTGGATGCTTCAAAGGGTGAATCAGAGTCGAGACAGGAGGGAAGCCCGGCATGGTGCAACGGACCTGTACTTAGCTTTAGTCTGACGGGCCAGAGGGCTTCGCCGCTCCTTTCTCGTTGTTTCGTTTGGATGGGATGTCTAACGAAGGTGCTTGCTAGAAGTAGGCATCTCTGGCCGCGTCAATATCCAGAACGCAAACTTCCAACACGGACAGAGATTGAAGTGAGACGACACAAAGGCCTCCAATGTGCGAGGTCGATTGCAAGAGCAGCCCCATGTGCACCGTAGAAACGACCCGGGAAAGGTCGTCTGCTCTCCTTCGAGAAAATCTTTAGGAACGGCCAGCAACCGCACCACACGGCTGCACTCCACAACAATCACACGCAATCTTGCACAGGCAACAACTCGTTGCACAAAGCGCGGTTCGCACCTGGGCCGCCTCGGCTGCCTTGGCCGCTGCCTTGGCCTCCGCCAGCTCCCTCCTCATCCGCGCCCCCGCCTCCCGGGCCCTCTCCCCGCCCGCTTTCTCCGCCTCCCTCTCCCCCGCTAGCTCGTCCGCTCGCGCACGCAGGGCCTTCGCCTCCCTCCGCGCCGATTCGAGCAGCGCCGCACTGTCTTTGGCAGCGGTCTGGGCGGTCTCCAGGTTGCGTGCAAGGGCCTCGTTCTCTGCCTTCTGGAACTTGACACGTTGCAGCTGCAAGGGAAATGACGGCTCAGCCCCAGGTTCTCATGAACCAGCAACTGCAGAGAGGAACCAGGGAAACGTCTCGATGCACTCGACAAAAATAGCTACGATATCGTCTGACTGTATACTTCGCCCTTGAAGACCGTTCTTCGATGGCGACAGTTAAAAGGTTAGATCCAGGCGACATATGATCCAAGAGCCCGAACGACTCTCGACAGCTTCGTGAATGCGTCGACTGCTGTTTGAGCCCGGACAAGGAGAATGGTTCGTTTGGCGACCCTGAGCTGCCCTGGGCCCGGGGGCTGTTAGAAGGTGCCTTTATGGCTCGGAGTCAACTTTACCGGAAGACACGCTTTGCTTGTGTCAAAGACCATGCTCATCAAGACAAAGAGACTCACATAACACAAAGCAAGATGGAATGCCCCAGTAGGTCCCCTCCGAGTTCAGACCTAGCCAAACCCGCGAAGCCTGACCCAAAACCATTGGGGCCGATGAGGAGCTGCGCACCGTTCGATGGTCAAAAAGTGTGCATCTGATGGCTGTGACCTTGCCATCTGACCACGTGGAGCTCTGGTCAAACTGCATACGTCAGGAAAGGCACCATCACACGCTCACTGCACACAGAAACAGGTTTTGAGATGCTCAAATATGTATTTGAAGGCTAAGCAACAGCCCCCAGGCGCAGGGTCCCCAAAAAAACTACTCTCCTTGTCGGCCCTCTGTTGTCAATGGAAAGTGGGCCAGGCATTAATTGCCGTTGCTTTCGGATTTACATACCCTATGTTACCGAAAAGAGACAAGAACCAAACGCCCACCAGCGCCTTGTTGGTCTCCTGCAGCCTGGCCTCCCTGCGCCGCGCCTCTCTCAGCTGCTCCTCTCCTTGCGCCGCCCCCTCCCGGAGCGCCCTTTCCGCGACCAGCACTCGACTCTCGAACACCACACTAGCAGCGCCCGCCTCTTTCTTAGCCTGGTCCCTTAGTGCCGCTATTTCGGTCTCGAAGTCGGCTTCCAGGTGTTGGAGCACGCGGGCATGCTCCGCTTGCTGCTGCTCCAATCTGACCGCTAGTGATGTCGCTGCCCTGTCCTTCTCGGAGACTTCTGCCTCCAAAGCCTGCAGCGGAGAACAGCATTGCAGCTCAGAATCGCACCGCGCAGAATTGGAAGTGCTGCGGAAGCCGAGGGTAACGACCTGTCAAGGACGCATGACCAGATCGACTGTACTCCAGCAGGTACGTTGCTCGGAGAACATAAAGAAGGCGAGTAAAGCGGAAATCGCCTGAACAAGTCACCATTTCAGACAAGGTTACTTGCTAATACATGCCACAGCTCCCAGCCTGCAGACTCAAATGAGCGAGTGGTCAAAGAGTGCACTCTAGCTATGAGCATGAGCACGTTGTTTTTGAAGAATATTGCGAGCCAGGTAAGGTGGCCTCTTATCTGTAGAGAGACCCAAGCGCTGCACCTACTTTCACCCTGTACTGCCCACTGGCTGCTCACTGTTGGTCCAGTACTGACCTGCACGCGTGTGCGCAGTTGCTGGACCTCCCCAGTCTTTTCCTCCACTTCTCGCGTTAGCCTCGATATTGAGTCCTCCCAACGAATCTCCCCCCCGCTGCTTCTCTCCCGAGCAGTCAGTGGCACTTCGTCACCACTTCCGGTGTTTCTTGCCCCCTCTTCCGTCCTCGAGCTCGGGTGTCCCGTCTGCTCGCTTCGCACTCGCTTCTCTTCCACTTTTCCGATCCCGTCCCGCTCACTGCCCAATCCCGGGTCACCTGCTGGGCGTTCCACAACAGTGCTGCTCAATGTGAGGTTGTTTTCGACCTCTTCCCCCGTAACTGCTTCGGCCCTGGCGCTCGGCACCTTGAAAGCTACTTCAGAGCCCTTCCCGTCACGAGAAGCCTCTCGAGGCGCAGCCGGACCTTCCTTGATTCGCTCCTCAGAAGGGGCCACTTGATGTATCTCTGGATCTTTTCTTGGTAGCATGAGTTGGACAATCGGCTCTACAGGACTCAAGCTTTCCACTTCCTCGTATCTGGGCGCAGGTTCATGCTTCCAACTCCCAACACCAACAGGTGTGTCTCCTCCGTGGCCCGCTCCCAACCCAGCCAAGCTGCGCTCCAGCAGCGCTGCCAGGGACTGCCACTCAGACTCCAGCTGGCCCCCGGCAGGCTGAACCCCCGCTTGCCGAGCCCCCTTCCATTCGCCATCACCACCAGCAACAGAGTCCAGGTAGTCCAGGTCGGGTATGCCAGGAAAGGCACTCGCGTCTTCGCCAAGAAGCGAGTCCTCCAGAGCAATTGCCTGCAAGAACGGGTCGTCGGCAACAGGCTCGGAAACTCCCGTTGTGTCCGTCCAGCGAAGCGGGTCCAATTTACCGAATGCACGTTGCAACGGGTCGGGAGGCACTTCCCTGGAGGAGCCCCCTGGAGCTCCTCCCTGCCCTTGCTTCTCCCCTCGCCCGCTTTCCCCCCTCCACCTGCGCGTGCGCCCCCTGCTCTCCTTCCGTACCCGCCGCTCAGCCCTGAGCTGCTGCACCAGCTTGTCCGACTCCGTCAAACTCCTGAGCACCGCCATCTGTTCCTTGACTTCGTCAGAGCTGCCGCCAGGCTTCCGCGACCTGGGGGGGTCTCTCTCCGGAGGGGAAAAGCTGTAGCCTACGTGCCCTCCCCAAGCTCGCCCCTCCCGGCTGGCCTCAATTCCATCCTGAGGATTGATACTGGACCAGGAGGCAGTCCGAAGGGCTGTGGTAAATCCTTTACGAGGTTGCTTCTGTGGTTCAGCTGCGCCGGGGTTTGGCATGGGCGACGGGAGACTGCTGCTCGAGGTCTGCTCCTCGCTGTTGAGAATCTCCACCAGCTCGGTGACGTCAAACTCCCTGGCTGACCGCACCCGCATCCTTCCGCCCATTATCCACCTTTTATCGCCCTACATTTGCTTCAGTCTAGGAAGATAACCAACTTGAAGGAACAGCCCCCTGGATTTCTGGCTCACCTCTTGGCCTCTGCATACCCCGCCTCCTGCAGTTCCCTGACTGCTTCCCGCTTCATGCGCACCCACAGCTTGGCGGCCTCCCTCTCCACCTTCTCCTGCTGCAGCTGCCCCGACTTGTTGTCGACGCGCGTCGATAGCCGGGTCTTCAGATTGGCCCCCCTGGGGCCACCTGTCTCCAGAAACTTCTCCACAGCCTCCTTGTCCCCCGGGTACGGATACTCAATGTGCTCATAGCGGTGGGCGAGAGCTTTCTCCTCCTGCACAAATGCCATAGCGATACATTTCCTTTTTGGACCTACCTAGACTTGGCCCCATTGGCACAGTGGACAAGTCGTCAAGCAAGAGCGGCGACCTCGATACATATCTGCAAGAATCTCCTTGCATACGAAGAAGTCTATGAATTGTGTGCACTGTAACTCTGCTGCGACACACAGGAATGTTGGTAAGAAAACGTTAGCTAAGCAACAAGTGAAAGCAGGATCAGTGATCATCAAGTGCAGAAGCCAGATGCCAGATATCAAGCCAGATCGAAGCAGAAGCAATTGAGCTGAGTCTATGCAATTCGAGGCGACTCGCCTTAGTGCGCCCCTTCAGATTGAACCATCCCAGGGGTGAGTATCGATCAAATGCCCACACGGCTGCGACAAGCGCATACGTGATGCCAGCACCCTTGATGAGGGGCCAGATGCCGGAGGAAGCACCACTCATGTTCAGCAACACGCCAACGACCACCTCTATAGGTACAGGGCTGTGCAAAATGGCTCTAGAGCTGGATCAGAAGCACCATGCACTGCAAATTGCGATGAACCAAGGCTAGTCATACCGTAACCCAGTCCTACACTGCCAGTGCTAGTACCGTAGTACAAGGTAATGAATCCGAATAATTAAATGATTAACTGCGTTCGGACAGTCAGAATTTCGAATTTCCCGTTCGGAAAGTGGAAATTCGGAAAGGTTAAATAATTCTGGAATGGTCCTCGGAAGCCCCAAAACGGCCAAAAAAGCCCTAAAAATCCTCTTCTAAGTGAGAACATAGGGCATTCGGATTTGTGTCGGAATCAGCATAAATAAATCCGCTTTCCTGGTCGGATTCAGTGTTTCCACTGGGGGCCCGCCACCAGCCATTATCGCCCCCAATGGCCGATATCGTCCCCCAATAGGAGGGGCTTGGGGGCCCAACGGGCCCCCAATGCTCGAGTCAAGGGGGCCCGACGGGCCTCCAAAGAGCATCGTTGAGGGGCCCTGTTGCCCCCATACTTCACTGTGAGGGGGCCCAACATTACGAGTTATTCTAAGCTTATATGTAACTTGCGATTAATATTGCGTGTACAACTGTGTTTAAATATCGACAATTCGTCTATTAGGGGGGTTCTTTAGGAAGACCGACCCTGAGTACCCCTGCTTATGGAATTGAGCGTTAATTTTGTCTCATACGACCTAGCAGGGGGCAGTTTCGCGCAGATTGTGGGCCCCCAATCAGTGACTGGAGGGGGCCCTTAGGCCCCCGATTGAGCGGCTGAGGGGGCCCACCGGGCCCCCGAAGAACGGGCCCAGGGGGCCCGGGGGCCACCAATTGAAAAAGTTAGCGGAAAGCCGGAAACACTGGTCGGATTGTCGGAAAATAATTCGAAATAAAATTGTTCGGAATTATCACGTTGGACCAAGTCTACGGTACTAGTACTACAGAATCCAAGTCACACACACACAGTCTCAGATGCACAGTCTCATGCAGCCAGATCCAGGAGGGCGCGCGCCGCGCGCGATATATCATGATGATGCACATTGCATGCAATAATGGACTAGTAAGGGTACCGTCACTTTGAAGTGGCACCCCCTTAGGTATTCTGTTGGGGGGGGGGGCTTGGGTTGCTTCAGCCAACCAGAGGCGGGGAGGGGGGGGGCGCTTTGAGGCCTTTGGCTTGGGGCGAAGCCCCAGCCGGATTTCAGCTGGAATACATGCTTTTTCATGCTGAAATAGATCATCTTTTAGCCCACGGGTAAGAGATGGTAGACCATGGATGTATCAAAGAAGCACTTTTCAACCTTTAAAAGGGGCGAATTTATGCATACGACAGTGCTTATGTCCAAAAAGTTTGCTCGGGTGGTGCCCTATGTGGACCGGGGCCTTGACCTTTTCTGTGAAGGCAAGGCCGGGAGGGGGGGGGGGCTTGAGACCCTCCAGCCAAAGTGCCTCTAAAATACCTAACCGGGTGCCACTTCAAAGTGACGGTACCCTAATGCCGATCCTGGATTGCTTTCAAATGGGAATATTGCGAAATTCTCCGAGTATGACGATACTTCAAGCTATGTACCGGTAGTTGCAGTGTTAAGACTCAATCGCCTTTCAGATACACAATAACAGACCACAGGCTTCCCTCAAAATCTGACACCGCACTGATACGCTGAAACTGATGTCATCATAGCATGTCAGGCGGCAGTTTTTGTCAGGCTTCGTGAATCCGCATCATGATCATGGTCATGCAAATCTTGAAGGCGGCATGGCCGATGATGGTTTTACCGTATTGCATGCGCGTTCTTCAGCTTCCTGGCATTGCACTGCATGGCACTCTTCGCCCTCTACGTAGCTCTCTAGACGGTCCATCCTGCAGGTATTTCAGGTAGCTGCATTTGCTGCCAAAGCCAACTGACTGCAGCCTGCTGCTGCCGCTCATTCTGCTTGCAGAGGGGTCAACCGGCGCGAAGCCGCCAAGAGTGCGGTGGGGGCCGTTTCGGCGACCGTCGGACAGCTGTTGGTCCGCTTGGCATCTTGCGATGCTGAAAGCTTGGGGCATGAGTTCACTTGCAGCGCCCCGTGTGGCAGGCTGCTGAACTGTTTTGAGAGAAGGTGAAGAGAAGGTGAGGGCTCTTGTTTCTGGATCCTTGCATGTCTTCTATTGGTACGGTCCGAGTCAAAGCTGCATCAGATGCCTGTGCAGTATCGGAAGCAGCAAGGGCGGCCTTGTAAGTGGGTATTGCTGGCTCCGATGGAACGCATATACAAGTGAACATGCTTCAGCAAGCCTTCTGTCAAGAGCTTTCCAGCTTCTGTTTAGGTGTCCATCTTCCCCACTCGACACGGGAAGGCATGCCAGCATAGGCGCTGCTTCCATGAATTCAATGCTGAGTTCGGCAAAGTTGACTGGTGACAGTCTTGTTTACCATTGAGATCCCTGTCACTTTAGTTCCTGGTGCCGTTGACTATGGCAGTTGAACATGAGGCTGTACTCAGAGCTGTTGCTTACCTCTGTCTGCTCTTTTGTGCAACAGACTTGTAGCCCACTCTTTTTCATGGGATCATATAAGGATGGGGCGGAAGAAGTGGTACTTGCAAAGAGGAAGGGCAGCCCAGCAGAGGGGGTGGGCCTTCTTAACGTAGCGGATGATCGGGTGGACCTACAGATCAAACCATCTGAACTCAAGGGCGCGCGAGCAGAGCTCTCTGGAGTACGTGCCCAGTCTAGTAGCACAGACCAGGCCCGGCCGTACGAGAGGCATGCCTTCAGCGGCTACTTCAACAATCCCGTGCCTTCCACTTCACAAAACTTGTCCCAAAGTAGTCCCCAGGTCGAGCAGCCCCCTAGCCAAGTTTCCTCCGGCCATCCCCTGAAGTGCCCCAAGGTGGACTGTGCAGGGCCCTCAGGCACTGCACCGTTTGTTTCAGAACCTGCCGCCTCTAGTTGGGAGCAGGCTAGGCCGGCCCCCAGCCCATCGTGCCCCCCCTCCACGTCGAATGCTGCCACTCATTCCGCAGTGAAGAAAATGTACGAGATTGATTGTCCAAGTAGCCGGGCGGCGCCTGCTGGCCGTGGCGCTGGCGTAGAGCGGCGCAGCATTGTCCAAACGGGGAGGGGCTTGGCCGCTCCTTCCGGCCCCCCATGGCAGTGGTTCCCGCCACGGGCCGCTCAAGCAAACGGCCCTCTAGTGCCGGAGCCTCCTCCCCTCCCTGCGGAGCTTCTGGAAGAGGAGGGGCTATCCGCATGTCTAGAAGCAGCAACGTGCGCCCCCAGCGCAGTGGAGCAGCTCGGATCTCCCTCTTTAGCTTCGTCGGATCTGTTGGGTTGGGTAGGCCACGGCAAAGCGGAGGAGGGCGATGCCGCGCTCAGCCTGGAGGACCTGCCGCGAGTGCTTCTGGTGGCGGTGCTGGCGCACCTCCCGCTGCCGCGCGATGTCGTGGCATTTGGCGCCACCAGCAGGGCTGCAAGGGAGGTTGCCAGCGACGCGGCACTCTGGAAGGCGCTTTTCGCAAGCAGGTGAGCTAACAAGTCTGTTCCAGCAATAGAGGCCCAGAGAGGTCAATCGGCCCGCTCGCTTCCTTCCCGCCATCCTCTCTGTACATTTAATTTTCCGTTGCCACGTGTCCTCATTCCAAGCCCCAAAGCTATCGCTTTTGATTACCATCTTTAGCGCATCGTTGATCAATAGGCAACGTGTCTGTACAAGCGGTCTGTGTGACATGTTGCACTGTGCTGCAGGTGGGGGCTCCCTGCTGCCCTGTCCGCCCAGCACAACTCGGAAGTGAGCCTGCAGCAAGAGTATGCATCCCGAGAGCGCTTTCTACGGGAGCTGCGGTCGAGCCCTCTCCTGGTAGGGGCGCTTACGGAGCTTGAAGCAATGCAGGTGTGCCGCCACCTGTCGGGGGCGCTGGATTTGCTCACAGTCGACTCCCTGGCAGTCTGCCAAGCCCACGCAGCCATACTGCTCAAGGTGAGGTGCCTTTGCGTTGTGCGTCCACTGGGTTTGGGGTTTGGTCGGATTTAGGCAAATTTGAGGGCCTTTTGCGAGGAGGTTACCCTGGGGTTCCACTGCTCAACATGAGGGAAGAGCTGTTTGATCTGTGTTCTCCTGACATTCATTCCCGAAATCGACTTCGCAATTTGTTGTATCATCAAAATTTCTGTACACAGCTGCACGGTCAGGGTCATACCTCGCCCCAGTCACCTCCGGCTAACATTTCCCTTGTTCTGCTTCAAAGATTCAGCCGTGGGCTTACAGGATTGCACGTGGGTCTGATTGTGTCCTGTTAGGACACTCTTTTCAGTAATACTGGATATTTTAATGTTCAAAAATACCCACCCCCCACTTCTCTCTGCAGGAGGTGGATCTCTTCCTGGGCCTTCTGCACATCTTCCGCCGATCACCGTCCCCGGAAGATGATCCTGCATACGCTGAGGCGTACAACCTGGCCTGTGCAGTCTACGGGACCCTCGTGAGGCGCTGTCAAAAATTGGCGGGAGCACGGTTGCTGAGGTGCAGCGCTCCGACTTTTACTTCTTAGTTCGGACTCAAGAATACAACTCCAGGCACACGGTCTGGCCACACTTAATACAGGCATCCTGCTGAGCTTGCTTGTATCTTTACACAGATTCTACTAGATCCTTTCATATTACATTCCTTTACTTTTCCCCGTACTCCTGCCTTTCCCTCTGCGGGCGGCTGGATGTGTTTGCCCCTGATAGCGCCTTACGGGGCTCTCCTTCCATTGCAGGCGTGAGGACGGGCGGTCCCCTCGGCTGCAGGGCTCGAGCACTCCGCAGTGCCGCTTCTCGTGCGAGAGCATTTTCGCGCACTTCGTCCAAAACCTGAAGAAGCCCAGCATGTATGCGGGGCCGCTCGCGCTGCCGGACCCTGCCGGGCCGCCGTCGGTGGTGTGTCTCGAGATGTGCGAGGCGCTGCTGCCGCACATGTACCTGCTGCCCGTGCAGATCTGGGATCTCTCCACGCCCATCGCCGACTGGAACGGAGTGGTGAGTGAGCAGGAAGGTCGTCGCCATCCTCGTGTCGATTGGGCAGATATGCTTTGTTTCTGAGCAGAAGCCTGAAGCACTTCGGGATCCGTACGTAGACCCAGCGCTTTGGACCGGGGCTGCTGAACCAATGCGACAAGGGGTTCATGTTGAACTTAATTGGGAGCAGAAACGGTTCTTCTTTTCACTAGCGCCAGTGCATCGGGTTGAGTGCTGGGCTCTTGGTCCTTTGGACAAAGTCAGTGCCCCGACTTGGAACGAGAACTCATCGAGCCGGGCAGTGACTAGATTGCACATGCCAAATCTTCTCCTTCTGCTGTCCCAGAAGGTCCGCAGTAGGGCAGTAGGCCGAGCCCGCTTCTCCGTCTCCTTTCTCCTTCTGACTGCCCGTCCCCACAGGAGTGGCCCCGCTTCAGCGAGGAGCCGTTCCGGCGGTGGCTCCTCCCGGACTGGCGCGCGCAATTTCCCGGACTGTGGCACGGCTACTACATGTTTCGCAACCAGGGCCAGCTGGGGGCGCCCGACCCCGCCATGCACCTCACGCTCGCGCTTGAGGGTGTCGCGCCCGAGGAGGACGGCGCAGACTGGATGTACGTGCTGCGCGGAAGCGGGGACGACGGAATGGGGCCATTCTCGATAGAGGGAACAATCCGCCCGGTGAGAGAGGGCTGTCAAAGTGGGTTTTGCTGGTCGACGTTGGGTTTTGCTGACAACGTGCAAGGTCGTGCATCCTTTTTGGAGCATGTTGACCTCGGAGCATGTTGACCTTTGAGCAGCCTTTGTCCAGTTTCTCCTTCGCAAAGATCTGCCGCATCTTTCGTGACACGGCTCTTCTCTGCCAGGTGCCTCCACCGGCGGTCCCTTCCTCGCGCACTGTGTTTGGGGGAGTCGAGTTCTCGAAGGCATACGATGAGGCTTTGGAAGAGGACGGCCTGCTGTATTTTGTGGGGCACCTCACGGCTCTAGGCATGACAGGTATATGGGGCAACAAGCTGACGGAAAACGTCAAAGGGACGTGGGCGATGACGCCAGTCTCCGCATTTCCCGATAACGCGCGCGGTTCGCTTTGCTAGGCAGAGACACGATATAAATTACAGTAGAAAAGAGTAGGGACAGCAAACAATTGAGGAGCTCCTATCATGCTGAGTTATTGCGGAAGTAGTATCGGAAGCTGTGATTCTTGCATTTATATTGACGTTGTACCATTAAGGCCTTCGGCTTCGCCACAAACATGCGTACGTAGATCCACACGACTGATCAGGATCATTCACCTGCCAAATAGTTTACCAGTTTCCCACAGCATGCTCTTCATTGATTGCTGAGACTGTACGGGGGTCACGGACCCGAGGTTTGAAGCTCAGTGAAGCTTCGGAACTTTGGAAGCTTCAGCAGACTCGCTTATACCTTCAATGACGCGTTGGATCATTTATTGAACGCTCTTGATGCCACATGCAATGTCTCATGACTCAGACATAAATTGACCTATACACCATCCGAGGCATATATGTCCAAAGATGTTCGATCTCTTTTCAAAACGCCGTAGCCACATGGCCGCCATCTAGGCTTCCGACGATGGCATATTTGGAAATCAACATTTGGAATTTGGACACCTAGCTACCCTTAGTACGTACCGAATCTCCATCAGTGTGCTATACAATAGTCCTTAATTACTACGGTAGCTAGCTCCTGGCAACCGCTATTTATGATCCAACTGAGACTGCGTACCCTTGGGCCTATGCACACCTGGGAGGGGGGTTTTTGCCCAAAAACGGGGTTTTGCTGACGTTTGTCGGAGACCCGAGATCCAAGCTCGGGAGCAACCCCGAGACCCTATGCACACCGGGTTGCGGGATGTCGGGTTTCCGCTCCTCAACGCGTTGTGTACCTAACCGTGTACAGTTTGTGTACGTACCGATCGAAGCCCGCAAAAGTACGTTTGGCGCGTCCATCGTTCCCCCGTGACGTGCATCACCGAGACCCCGACTTTCGATCGAAACCCCGCCAAAGGGCCGGGTCTCGGATTTTGGAAAATTTCCGAGACCCGGGTCTCCGACACGTCGGCGAGACCCCGACTAGTGTGCATAGCCCGAAAGGGGTGCCGGATGTCGATTTCGAGACCCGGGTCTCCATTTTACCAGAGAAACCCCGACACCCCCCTCCAGGTGTGCATAGCCCCCTTGTGCTAGCAAGAAATTGATTGCATAAAGTCCGAATGATCAGCCCGCGGGACTACGGGCAAATTACAGTATATAAGCTGGAATTATGATCAGTATTCCGAGTGCCGCTTATATCATGATTATATATTTGCTATAAGCGGCCGTGACATGCAGTATGGTCACTTCTTTTTATACACGCTTAGGCACCGGCCTGGGCCCATGGCGCAAAAACAAGCAATTTCGGAGTTCGGGCTTCATTAAAAAATGTTTCTTTAGGTAGTTACCAAGCAGTTACTAACAACAAAGCAACATGGGACAGCCATGCATGACTAACATATGACATGCTACCTCATCGTGGCGTAACTACTGGGTATCAAAGTCACTTAGCAATACCAATCGGAGTATCGCACATGCAGATATTGAATCGATCATGTTTACTCAGTGATGCATGATGATCGATCTCCATGGCGGGCGGCGGCGCCTCTAACCCGATGATCCAATCGGAGGATTTCTCTCGCGATCGCGGACGATCGATAAATCCGAAGTATAGGCCTGACCAGGGGCCAGTGCATGAACCCCGGGCAAGTTTAGTCGAGGACTCAACTTCATTTGCCAGCCTGCCATGGGACACATGGCCGCCGCAATCAATTGCAGATACTCAGTATACACATACGCTCGTAGCTGATCAGTTAAGATCATGGTGACAGTTGCTAGCGCTTGCGTTTATGGTCAGTCTCACATGGCAGCTATATACGGTCCACGGTCACGATTGAGCCTGGTCAAACCCGGCATCTACAAGTAACTTGATTATCCGATCACAATCCAATTGCGTCGACAAAAAATGTTCAAATATCCCCGAGTCCTGGCAGCTACAATGATGAAAAGTGTGTCACTAGCATTGACAAAGATGCGACTCTTCATATCGTACTCAAAGCTTTCAAAGTACCCGAAAACTTACAACTCAATCCTGAAAGTAATCAACCTTAGCTGACTGTACAACAATTGTGATTTACAACTCAAGGATCGTTTCGACCCTGTCGAAAAGAATCCAAGCTCAATCAGACAACCTCTCATATCCACCCTCTTATCAAAATGAAACCTTTGTTTGGAGGACAGGGCCTCGTATCAATGAAACAGTTATTGCAAAATCCTTGCATATACTCAAATAAGCACAACACTCGTGTCCCGTTCTAGCTGGACCCGCAGCTGCTCCCACAACTGCTGCCCCCCCCGCAGCTACTCCCTCCCGAGCAGCTGCTTCCCCCCCCGCCACAGCTGCTCCCCCCTCCGCCACAGCTGCTCCCCCCTCCCCCACAGCTGCTCCCCCCTCCTCCGCAGCTGCTTCCCCCCCCACACGAACTGCCCCCCCCGCCAAGTTCCCGCAGAGGCCCCGCACGACCCGCTGGCCCCACATGCGCTCGCCGCACAGCCCGCCCCCGCCGAGCCACAGAGGCCCGCCGCGGTGCTGCACGCGCCCGCGCCATGGTTGTGGTGGTGCTCCACCGAGCCGCAGCCTCCCCCTACACAGCACACCGCTCATTCCGCTTAGCCACATGCCCATCCAGAAAGCACAGCCACAGCGTCCGGAATACCCGGACCTCAGACTTTTCCCCAAGGGCTTTCTAGACACTGCAGAACGGGACGACGCAACGCAACAGCTGTAAGAAGGTCAGGCCTTAGCCAACAGACTAACTCGTAGCTTAGACGGGATTTTAAACGGGGGACTCACCTGACGACGTGTCTATGAGGAGCGGCGTCATGTACCAGAGCGGGAGGGAGTTATCGGTGCCGCCGCTTGACGAGGACGACGTCTGCCGGGTAGTGGTCCCTCCGTGGGGCCTGGAGTACGCCACCGAACCTGATCAAAGGAAACAGGCAGACGTGAGCAGGAGCGGGTCAGGTGAGAGAAGCCCCATGAGAACCCCAACATCTGGCTGAAGTTGCGTCCGTCGGAAAAGGGGTTTGATCTCGAACAAAGTGGACCGACAACGAGGGACCAGTAAGAACACCCCAGCAAAAGGGCACAGGATCTCCTGAAGGTTTGCCGCTGCTCACCCCACTCATCCACCGGGCGGCCGCCCCTCTTCTTGGCCGCCTTTTCGGCTGCTCGCTGCGCCTTGAGTACGCGCAGTTTTGTGCGACGGTCCGGAGCGGCGGGCGGCGTCAGGTCCTGCGCGGCCTGGGCAAGGCACGTGCCCAGGAGGGCCACCAGCGGAATCCGCTCCGTGGGCTGGACCTGTGGAGCGGAATCGGAGATGGTTGTAGGTACTGGCACGCTTGGAAGATAAGGTGGCGCCTCCGTCGTTCTCTCCGCTCGATGCAGAAGAAACCCCAGCGTGTTTTTTGGCTCGTCAATCAGAACGGGAAGAGTAGGCTGTTGACACCTGTTACGGCTGTGTTGCACACAGATTCAGGAGTAGTACGTGACAGAGAGTCAAACAACAGAGTTCTGTCAGGACTGCACGAACGGCAAGAGAAGAGGCAGCTCGCAGCCAGCAGGGCGCGCCTGACCTCCATGATGCCCCGGGTCCAGTTGAGCAGTGCGGTGGCCTTCCCCCGGGGGTGCTCCGCAGTGTAGCGCACCAGGGTGAAGAAGCCGGCCTCCTGGGCGGGGGACGCCCCGGGCACCGCGTACTCCAGCTGGCGGCCCTCGATCAAAGCCACCTGCAAACGCACCGGAGAGGAGCACATCACTCGCCGCAATGCTGCACGCTGATGTCACACACTGGGAAGAGACTCACGGACAGATAGTCAATGGTCAGAGTTGCACCAAAGAACCATAAGAGTGGACATATTGACACAACTCCTCCGTTTTGTTTTTAAAGCAAGAGGCACAAACGGGCACGCATGACAAAGTTGTCGCATTCAAGGCTGAAAGAGGGCAACCAGACTGTGGAGACCTGGCGTATCAACTAAATATGCATTACTTACCGGGGGGCTTTGCAGGGGCTGCTTGCGCGCCCACGTGGCGACCTTCGGTGTGAGCGCTGCGGTGAGGGCCCTCTCCCCGGACGCCTTGAGCCGCACCGTCAGCTCGTACGTCACGCTCGAGTCATCCGTCAGGCTGATGTCAGCAACGTACGAGGCTGCCTCGCCGTAGGGGGTGCCGTACAAAGTCCCGGGGGGGAGGAGCTCCTGGGCCTTCCCTACGACGACACCTGGCAGAGCAGAGACAGCGAGAGTGGTCAGAAGAAGCGAAGACTGACGTAACGAGAACCCGAACGCACAGACCCATCTGCAGATTTCCGACGTGATAATGGGCATGTTAAGTTGTCGGCTTTGTGGAAAATGGTGAAACAACCCGAGCGGCGACGCACCGGGCGTGTTCGACGCGGCCAGGTTGTGCAGCTGGTGGAGGCGCTGCCCGGGGGAGACTGCAACTGGGGACTCTTGGGTCTTCCTGTCTTTTCGGCCCGTCTTGGCTCTGAAGAGAAAAGGTGCGAAGTGTTTAGAATCAGCAGGGATTGCAAAGCCGATCCAAGTCTCGTGCCCAGACCTGCCATCGTTGGCACAAGCTAGGAGACGGGCAACGTAGGTCCCAGGCAACTGCCAAGGCATTTCTGAAGGTCTTGTCCTAGCAAGATTGGCAGAAACAAACGATGCAACCTGTGTCTGCTGTGCAAGGACAAAGTCGAAAGAGATTGCATATCTGAAAGCAACTCAGAGAACAAGAAGATATCGCAACCACTCACAGTGTGCGCATCACTGCCACGTCAGCCCCCGTGTGGTCCTTGACTGCGCGCGTGACCCATCTCCCGGTGCTCTCCGCGCCAACGGGCTCTCCGTTATCGTCAGTCAGCGTAGCCCGCGGCCACGTTCTCAGCAAATACGGACCCTGCTCCGGGGGGGTGATCGACAGCGCCACTCGCAGCGAGGGGGGCTTCTCCCCGTGCTTGAACTTGCCCGTCGGGCTGAGCAGCAACATTCTCTCGAGCACATACCCCGGCTGTTCCAAGACCTCCGGCCACGTCACCTGAGCCGCCGCCAGCAGCTTGTCCGATTTGAGCCCGGAAAGAATTCCGGCGGGGCGATCCCACACCTCGAATACGAGCCCCCCCGTGCTCATCTCCACCTGGAACGACGCCGCCTCGCGAGGCCACCCGCTTGCAGCCCCCGCCAGTGCGCCCGACGTCTGCATGCAGGGCTTGGAGAGCTTGGCCAGCGGGCGCGCCTTGACGTGGATCACCCCCTTGTGGCGCTCCAGGTTCTTGGCTTCCGTAACCACGACGCAAACCTGGCAGACTGACCGGTTGGTAAGGGCGGCCTGTAGGGCTCCGTTATGGTGGGAAGCGTGGGCTGCTTTTGCCAAGGGGGGGATGGGGAATGGTGCGGGAACTGGGAGGGGAGGTGGGGCTTCGCCCAGGTACAAGGTGCCGGCCCGCTCGTACGGGACTCCGTAGAGCGCAAGCCAGGTGTCGGCGGTGGACTGGAAGGACGTGTCCAGCTTGGCGCCCGTGCTGCGGTCCTGGTCGCTGCAGCAGCAGGGACGTTTCTGATTTTAGTTTATGGCCTCAAGAATGAGTGCACGAAAAAGTCCGCAGTCAGGTCAAGAGGTTGCTGCTACCTTAAATCAGAACCAACTACCAGAAAGCAGATTCGGGACACCAGATGGCAGTGGATCAAACCCAGGCAGTGCGCATGATCTGAGCCACAAAGCATGTGCCTGATATCAGCAAAACGGCAGCCGAAGCATTCTCAACTTCCAGCCGTTAGCATTTCGAAGTCTTTGAAACGATTTCTCTAAGGTGCGACCTGTGCATCAATGCCCATCCTCACTCACGTGTCATCGTGGTCTATTAGCTTGCCCATGACGTTCTGACAGTCTTCCGCGTATGCGAGGGGGCACAGCTGATGGGCATGCCACATCAGATCCACGTCGTACGTGGGCACACAGAACAGCCCGCTGCCGCGCGTGCGCCGCATCAGGTGCAGAAACATGCGGTACCGCGCCAGGCTGCCCTCCAAATAGCGCAAGTCCTGCAAGTGAAGATGGGGAAAGACTGTGTCCCGCTGGCGAGAACGGCAATAAGATGGACAGTGGTTGAGAGAGAAGGACTGCCTGCAATTGGTAACACTGGCAGGCAGGGTGATGTTCAGGCGGTCGCAAATCCGGATATCACCCCCGTTCACCCCAATTTTGCATTACAAGCCTGTTGCTGAGAGGATATCTACATGTCTCCTCCATCCTTCACATGCCCTAGTTCTGACAGGCTCCGTTTGGAGGGACGGGTTCCCTGATGCCCTCGGATACCCAACAGGAAACAACCCCTTCCCCTCCCAGTCAATCACAAAGCCAATTTGCAGAATATACAACAAATTTGATTCAGGAGGGCACATTCACTTGCACACTTACCAAAAAGCCTGGGCGGTTGACCTGGTAGAAGAAGGACGTTTGCCGCCCCATGGCCGCCACCAGCTTCAGCTCAATGCTGCCCACCTCCGCTGGCTCTGCGCTCCCCGGAACAGGGTCCCACGGCTCATTGGGGCACTCCGATGCCCACAACGACATAGCGGTGCCGAAAGCGAGGGTGTCGTCGGAGATGAGGGGGTGGTCCAGTGTGCGCCCAAGGAGGCGCCCGCAGTCCTGGGCGTACATCACCTGGAGGGAGGGAGTAAGGAGAACATGAGGGCAGGCGGGAATGGAACACAGGAAAAGTAGACAGCTTGGAGGGAGGGTGCAACAAGTTGGACTTGCGGCTCAGCCTTTGGGAGTATGTGTGTTTCTGCTTGTTGACAACTGCAGATTCAGGATGCTCACACATAGGGCTCACACATAGGCAGAGCAACTGGTTGTTGGAAACACTGGCATTGGACAACTGGAATAAGTAAGGTAGAAGTTGGCTTACTGGGTTGAGCATATGGCAGTGCCAGGCCCAGTGCACGTCCAGGGGGGGCAGCAACTGAGCGCCCGGCCCCTGCTTGGCCAGGAGGGGGAGCCAGCAATGGCGGTACCTGCGCAAAGTCGCAATCTTTGAGGCTAAGGGTCCGTATAGGCAGGACAGAACGGCCCACATTCACTGTCACCAACGTTGATTGCCGGGGGCATGCGCAATGATAGAGGGTCTATCCAGGACACAATGCTCCCTACTTGTTTATGCACTCAAGGACAAGAGGTAAAAGCAAAGCCCTTGATGGGTAGGACTGGGATTACCAAAGGGGCTGCATAGAAAGGCCCCTGCCAAACTGTGGACTTCAAACTCTGTTCACTGCCTATACACGTAAACAAAATGACTCTCTTACATTCCAATAATTGGGCACTCATATCTACATTTACCACAAAAGAATTCCTTCCATTGGGACTATGCAAACCCGCAGAGTGCGTCTATGGAGGCCTCATCCTCCAGGATTGTGCCCAGGTCTCACCTCCTTGCCGCCTGTTGCGCTCCTGCAGGAGTGTGCAGCTCGGGCGCATTGTCCACTGCAGACAGCATTGCCACCTGGCACCGTGCTGCTGTCAGCAGGTCGGCCGATAGCGGGATGGCCTGAGCTGCCGCCCCTTCCCGCTGCTGATCATCAGTGCCCATACTTACTTACCTCCTGGTCCGCAATCAAGTAAGGTGGAGCGATTGCAGGCGTGCCTTGCGAAACAATGGCATAAGATGGCGATCTAAGGCGATTATATGCAGCGGCTTCTGGATAGCGGTAAGCAAAGCTCTTGAGGAAGTCCGTAATCCAGGACGAGCTCCCTTACTGTTGCAGAGAACAAGCAATTACCCAGTGTGGAACTGTGGAAAACAAAGCCTACAAAATTGCTGCTGACCGCAGCTCGTCTAAAGTTGCCCTTCACTACGAAGAATGGTAGAAGACAGCTCAAAGAAACTTTGAAGAAGCATCAATCTTGCGGCTGTTGGACGGGCACTGCTAACAAAGAGACGTGCTACGGTACCCACCCTGCTTCTCCAATATGCTCGGCTTTCTCTGCCCGTTTCTCTGCTGCCTGAGGCTGCAATGCTGCATCTAGGCTACCCAGTTTCAGTACTGGTAGTTCCAACTCTGCGCGCGCGAGGACCCCGCCAAGTCACTCTGGTCAAAGTTGGTCGTGATCCATGTTTCTTGCTCCGAGCAGGCTGTTCAATGTAGTGTCAATGCCTTATGTTTATGGCCTGCAATATCGCTTGAACACTCACATTGACTCACATGAACGGGTTGCTCGGTCGCCGTACATGTCATCGGACTCGAGCAATCGAGTCAAGGGGGACCCCCCGACATGCCCGCTTTCAAGTTTCGACCCTCGATGAAAATCGGATCAACTTTGAACGGTTGTATTGGCACTGTCCTCAGTAGCTGCCGATAATGGTTTCGATAGGTGAAATTAGAGTAACGAATGCATCCCACACTGGCCAATTCTAGTTGCTCTAGCAACTGCTTGTTGCAATGAAGCGCGCCAACCTCCGCATCAATTCAGGCCAGCGGCCAGCCTGACAATTGGCAACGTGAAGGCTGACACAGACAGCAGCAGGGACCAGGAGCGGCTGTGCATTGATCCAGCTGATAGGTCTAGCTTGATTTCACTTTGCCAATACCTGGCGGCCTCAGGATTTATGTATCGTAGGCGTGCATTACGGAGATTCCAATTTGTCTTTAGCGGGTTGTGTCAGGAGCTGTCTGGCGGCGGACAATTGTACGCTAGGAAAGGGGCGTCATGAACGCGCCATGGTGGGATGCACTGAGGAGACATTGGGCAGAGAAGGTAAGCTGAAAAGGCGTGGTTTCTGGGCCTCAAACAGAGGGGCCGTAAGGAAAGTGGACCATGTCTGAAGGCTGAGCCGCCAACGCTCTCCCCTTGGAGTCTAAGTAGCATGGCAATTACCAGCTGCTGCGTAAGGACTGGGGCCTGAAGCAATCAAGCGTAGTTGGGCGGCTGGGAAGGGGCAATTGGGATGCTGCAATCAGTGGAAACGGTTGGCCACGTCCTGGCGTTCCGTACTCCGTTGCTTACCCAGAGTCTCTGGCAGCCTGAATATTTTGCGTACATTTGGTTTGGAAAGCCCAAGTGTCGCTTCGTTTGCAAGCTGCTCTCACAAAGGGCACTGGATCTGGTTGAAAAGTGACCCCAAGAAACCATTTGTTCAGCATAGAACATCTTCAAGCTGCTGTCTCCCTTTTGACCTTTTGCACTTGGGACACAATGCACAGGGGCACTCAAAGGTCTCCGGAAACTTTTGGAACGACCTAAGAATTGTGTCAGCTGCATTTAAAACCGGTTCCGCACCTCGTGCTTATGATCAAGCTGATCGGCCGCAGTCCCATTGTGGCACTGTCACTGCTCGCGTCATGCAGCTTACAAGTGCTCCCAAAGGCCCACATTGGCACCCGAAAGGCTTGACCACCAGTTATCAGGCCCTTAACATCCAGGGGTGGTATGACTTTGACTATAAAGGTTGGGAATATCACGGATCCTCGCTGCCAGTAGTGACATCAAACCGATCGGAAGGTTCCAAAGACCGCTTAAAATGTGCTCCCAAAGGGCTCTGACTTCCTAGTTAGAAGCGGCACACAATTGATGGGTGAATGACAGTCCCTAACTAGTATCATTTGTACAATAAGACGATTTCTGATTTGACATGCCTCAGGTTAATCCAAGGCGTGGGGTATCTGTCAAGTCTGACTATCAGGGACTTCACATTGTGAGTTTACTTGCGCGCGATGTTCACACGCTTCAATCCTTAACAAATCTACCAAAATACATCAGGGGACACTTTTTCTTGAGGGCCAGTTTTCACGGCCATACCCGGCATCTCCTCTGAACCCCCACCCGCTGGCCCACTCAGGTGCTGGAGCTCCGCAGCAACTTGCACAGTGGTGGCCCCCTCTCCCCCGTCACAGAGAGGGCCTCCAGTCTTGACATTCCGCCCGCTCTCGTCCACTCCGAAACCATGCCGCCGCTAGCGTCAGTCACATTCACCCCCCCGAGAGAGCCAGAGCGGGCGGCAGCAGAAGCCCCCAGTAAGAAGTATGCGGTGAAGACGGGGGACTGCTTGTACGGCATCAGCCGCGAGTTTGGCGTGGACGTCAAGTGAGTGGGATTGTCGAAGTGACGCTTCAAAGGGGGTTGTAGCGGGTCGGGCTGGTAGAAGGTGGATGGGCAGAAGATTGCGCAGGCTTTCTGTCACATCCAGCTTGTGAAGAGCCCTGGTAATAAGATCACTTTTGGGAACATAGGCAGGTACACCATGGGAGCTCATTGCCAAGGGTCACCCTTGACTTCTGTACTTTGCATGATTCCACTGGCCTCCAATTTCTCTTCAAACACATAGTAGTAGCTTCCAGTCCTGGACCATGCTGCAAGCGAACTGCCTTGCTCATGTCGCCTAACCGTAATGTACCAGAGTGAGCCCCCCAAGATTGAGCTGCCAGAACACGTCTTTGTCTCCTGCCTCTCCATCCTCGTTCACTATTCGCGCCCCTCACTCCTCTCATCTCGCAGGACGCTCCTGGCCTCAAACCCGCACCTGTCCAACCCCGACAGCCTGCCCCTTGGCCTCACGCTCTGCGTGCCCCTCCACTTCACCCCTGGAGTCCCCAACTCCAGCAAGCTCGCGCGCATCTCCCTCCCTAGCCCCACGCCCCTCCCGCGCCCCGCCCGCCCACAGATCAACTCCGCCAAGGTGTTGCCGCAGAGTGCCCAGCAGGCAGGGGCCGCTCGAGCGCTGCAGATGCGCGTGGCGGCGGTTGCGTTTGCAGTGTGCGGGAAGCTGTTGCTGGGCAGCGGCAGCGTAGGGGTGCACAAATACAAGGTGGCAAGGGGGGACACGCTCGCCAAGATTGCGGCGCGGCACAAGACCAGCGTGGCAGCCATCAAGCAGGCCAACAAGCTCAAGAACGACGTCATCATCCCCGGCAGGTAGGCTTTGGTGCGAGCTCGTCTTTGGAGTTTGAAACACCCGGGATGAGGCAGAAATCCGTTTTCGTTCTGGGCTATAATTCGCGAATGAGGTCACTTTTCGCATTGACGGGTTTGCACATGGTTGCTATTTAAGCCCCAAAGTTTCGTGAGCAGCCCCCACAGCCCAACGGCGATGCCGTTCTCCTCAGACATTGTAGCAGAAGCCCTCACACTTTTGCGTAGTGCAGAAAGGCAACCACTCCCAAGGTTTCATGTCTCGAGCATGCTCCTTCCTCCACCTGGGCCTTTTCCTTACCCTCTCGCGTCTTCTGCAGGACGCTGACGATTCCGTCCTCCGCCCCACGGGCGACTCTCCAAAAGGCGTCGTTGGCGGAGCGCGAGGCGGCCATGTACGGGCTGCGGCAGCAGAGCAAGGAAATTTTGGCGCCCATCTCGCCCAACCCGGTGTTCCAGAAGCACGCGCCGCAGCGCCGCGTCGTGGTCCGCCCGGGGGACACGCTCTCCGAGATCGCCAAGACGCACAGGTGAGGGCGCTAGGAGGACTATTAAACGACTAACCCGGGACAATTTCAAAGCGCCTCGCTTAGTGGGTTGGCGGGGCTGGCTTGGAGTCCCTGCTCGAAAGGGGCACTCGACAAAACGTGGCTTACAAGACGGAGAAGCTCTACCTTTTACTCCGAGCTCTTGCTGTGCTCAGTCCCCCACTCCATATCTCCGTGCAGAATGAGCGTCCAGGAGCTGATGCGGCTGAACAACCTCAAGGGCTTCGGCATCTGCGCGGGCGACATCCTGGCGCTCAGTCCAGGTAAGCCCCAGCAGCGCTCCGAGGGACCGCACCCGCTTTCATGATACGTCCCTTCGACGCATCTGGCTGCAGCCATGAGGAGGCAATTATATACTTGGCCCTTCTGCATGAACCAAATCTCGATCTCCGCCTCGGTTGCTGGAAAGTCTTCTTCGAACTTAGAAGACGTCCATGAGAGTAGAGAAGAGAACGTCAGTTCCCGTAAACTCTGGGCTGCATCACACTGACTGTGATTTCCTGGTGGCGCAGCTCCGCGCATGCCCATTGAGTCGATCCGGAAGGGCCCCCGCCGCTCGCGGATGTACCTCTTCTCGCGAGGCTGGGACGTGTGCACGGCGCAGAGGAAGCCTGGCGTGGGAGGCGGCATCGTCAAGCAAGGTGAGTTTCACTCAAGAGCCGGCTCAAGGGGGCAGCGACCTTCGTTGCCCTTCAGCCGGATGTGAAAGAACTCTTTGATGAGCACAGCTCTATGTTCTTTTCTTGCACAATCGGTGAGTCGTTGTGATTACCCAAGTCGCGCAGCTCCATCTTCCGCTCTGTGAAAATTTTGAATTGTCTCCGTTGTGCCTCACGTTCGTCAAGCTCGTTCTTAAAAATGCTGCGTTTCGCCCAGACGTTTCGGTTAAGGGCTCTCTTATTGATTTGGGATTTGGAACGTTGCTTGCTCGCAGCCCGCTGGAAGCAGCGCAAGACCAAGCCCTTCAACGACTGCTGGCGCTTCAACTGCCCCCTACAGAGCGGGTGAGCCGCCAGTAACCCGCACCCGTTCCCTATCGGTTGTGCCGTTTTTGCCAGTTTCACGATCTATTTGAAAGCGAGCAAAGCTGCTAACACCCCAAAAGTCGATGTTGCTTCGACAGGCCGACCAGCAATATCTTCTTTGGGCTGCACCACATGACAGTAGCTTGGCATCCATGTCGACCACCCTTCAGCCCGATCCACTTCGATCGCGTTCAATCCCAAACGGCATCGAACAATGGTCAGGCGCTTTTCCAACCTTGCCCTTCCGCTGTCGACTGCGTCCGCTGAGCGCCTTGGTTCATTGCTGCCGCAGGTTCATCTCGAGCCCGTACGGTCCGCGCAAGCTGGCGGGCCAGCGGCGGAGCATCCACTACGGGGTGGACATCGCGGCCGACACGGGCACGCCCATCCTGGCCGCGGACCGGGGCGTCATCGCCAAGGTCGCGCGCCACTTCTGGGACACCGACGGGTGCGCGCGCGTTCACCTTTTCTGACTGACTGCCACGTGACAGCCCGCTCGAGGCTCGAAGAGTTCTGTTCTTCCGGTGTCTTTTAGGAGAACCTCCGCCAAAAAGTGGTTCTTAATTAGGCGCCAGGGCTATTTTGAACCATCGAAGGCTGGGTTCAAAGGTCTGCTTGCGGCTATGAGAGACAGGGTGGGAGACAGCGCTGCTTCTCGCAGTCAACAGCCCATCTCAACAGCCCAGCTGCCCGCCGCCTGTGCGTGTCTCATTTCGTGCGCCTGTGCGGGCAGGTACGGCAACTACGTGGACATCATGCACTCGGGCAACTTCCTGACGCGGTACGCGCACTGCCAGTCGCTGCTTGTGCGTGAGGGCCAGGTGAGCGGCCCCTCTGTCCACCGAGCGCCCCGTCGACTCGTGCTTCGAGCAGGACTGGAGCAATCGTTGGAGTCCGCAACCGATGCCTTGTTTCGTCCCTAGAGTTAGACTCTGGGTTATCTGTTTCGCTCAAGTAGTCCCCGCTCGTGTGGTGCAGCGAGTTTCGAGGGGCCAGGAGATCGCCACAGTGGGAGCCACCGGGAATGCTCAAGGACCACACCTCCATTTTGAAGGTAACGCGCAGTCTCTCTCGATTCCAAGTTGTGAAGAATTGGATGTGTATGACAGTGCCCAGGCCGTGTGTTGGAAGCATCACCGATGACCTGAATAGCAGTTCCTTGCCCCGGCAATCTGCATAACAAGCAGCAATATCTCCAGAAGTCAATGACGTCAATACAAGCTGGAGAGAAGGAGAAATTCAGATTTTGGGGGTTTCCCCAGCCGGTGCTGACAGCGGTGTCGGTGAATCTGTGTTGGCAGTGCGCAAGGAGGGCAAGACGGTGAACCCCGCGCACTACACCCGCCTGTGCTGACCTCCACCACCCGGTGCCCCGTCCGCCCATTCTTTTCGGCTGCATTCAAAAGCTTGAGTCTGCCGGTAGCTGCTAGGATTATGTCCCGTGTCTGGTCCCAGGTCAAATGTGCGTCTCTCGGCAAAGATAGGGTGGATGTTGCTAGTCGTGCTGGTTAGGGCTCGTGTGGCTCCAACGCCAGGTGGTCTTACAAGAAATAAACCCTACATATAGTCCGTTGTACTCTAGATAGTTGTAAGAGATCGAGGCCTTGCTTCTGTGCTGTGCCTGGTGGCGACTCTGCTTCCTTCAAGGCAGTCAAATCCGGAATAATCCAGCAGCGAGTGTCCCGTTGAAAAGCCAAGTGGCTCGAGAAAATGGTCAAGCGTTTGCTTGTGGGTCGTTGGGCCAACCCTTGAACTCAAGGCAAGGTTAGATTTGACTCTTATATGGTGCAACCTCCTAAGTAGTTAGTCGCTTGCAAAGGTCTTGACTCAAACAATACCATGAGTGCTTTCAATGGACGCATTATCAGCTTGTCGGATTAGCGATGCGTTCATGGGATAGTAAACATGCTCCGTGTTCAATGTGGTTACGATCAAGTTTTCAAGCCGACCGATACTGTTTGCCGTGAAGCGCTATGCATGATACCATCTGTACTTCGCGGCATTGACGTCACCGTACCGGTGGCACATGGTCACATTGATCACGGAGAATTGCGGAGTTGCGGAGTCAAAAAACAAATTCCCGGCCGCGCCGGAGACCGTGCTCCACGGCCATGGTGGCTAAGGGCGTTAATAAATTGGAAGTTACCATCACATGGTGGCACTCATGCCATGACGTGATCATAGAGCGCGTGGGACCGTTCACACTCACGCGCAAACTTTGCAGGGCATGCACATATTGATCTGGTTGAGAGTACACTGTATACCTTAGCATCATTATCAGCTGAAAGTTACCACAACGGATATCCTGCTAATGCATATGATGAGCCCGTTCTGGCGGATTGGCTCAACATCATCACATGGGCCTGGCGGCTGGTTGAGTTGCCTGGCGGCCGCCGGCCCGCACGCCGCGGCCGCTCTGCTGCCGCGGCTGTGGGGGGCCACGCACTAAAACTTTTCAGCAGTCAAGGCGTGCTGTAGCAACCCTTTTCGCCCGGGGGCTACTGGGAGAAGTCATCAGCAGATCGCCGGAAACTTAGAAAGTGCAAACATGCAACTGGCGTCGCAGCCAGGATTTGAACCCGCGATCTATCGTGAGTCGATGTTCGCATGTACTTTAGGCTGTTTACATGGAGACCACTGCCATAGACTCACGGTCACTCCAGAGGGCGCAGACGCCAGCCAAAATGTCGGCGCGAGCAGAATTGTATTAGCGGGCGGAATTATCATATCCAAACTGCCCACAGGGTCAAAACGACTTGGCTAGGTCCCAAAACGTTCTCTACAAGTTTCCGCCATCGTTGGGCGTCATTTGCCCGGTCCATTTGAATGCCCAAAATTTGCATTTTAGTTGGGGAAGTACCTCCCCTCCTAGTACCTCCAAACTCTCCCAAATGCTGACGTCATAACTCCCAAAAGCGAAGAGATACGTCATCCTAAGCCCCGAGGTAATTCGACTACGATATTTTCGTACAAAACTTCCGGTTTTACAATCCGCAAAGTGACGTCATAAACCCTAATTTGCACTAACAAATGAGCAAATGAGCCCCTTCAACTGAGCTGTTGAGCTGTGTTGAGCTGTGCGCTTTCCGCTCCATTCTCACCTCTTCAAAACGAGTAGCTTAATTCCTCCTCTTCACTACGACCTTTCTACCTCTTCTTCATGTGTGTGAACGTTTCTTGCAAAGAAGCGCCGCGGGGATGCGCCCCCAAAGTTGCGCCCCCGTTGCGCCCTGCTGCCCCCTTCTACCTCTCGCTTTGCTTGAAAAAGAAAGGAAAGCCCTAGGTCGCGGTCGCATGTCCTTCCTACGGTAGCTTGCACAGGCTGAGTGGCCAGGCTGCCATGCAGTTGTCCGAGTCACGGTCGACTCAGCGCATGATGCAAAATGGCAGGGGCCGAGTGACATCAGCGTTTGCAAGGACCCTGCATACGTCATCATACCTTAAGCGAGAAATTCGGTCCCCCTTCGCCGTCAGCCCGATTCAAAATGGCTTGGTGTTTCGATTTGGCTCGATAGTTTGCGATACCCCCCAAGTCAGACATAGGTCCAACAGGTTCGAAATCTGCTGAGTACGAGCTAACAGATACTACAGATCGTCCAGCCGGTAGTGCTGTTCGACGCCCTCGCAACCGCAGAGACGAGCCTCCGTCAAATCAGGCCCTACAAACGCCATCTGCGAGGAACCCCTGCTGTTCTGCTGATCAGCAAGGTCGTCCACCGCTTAGCAAGTTCGCGGCATCCCCCTGCAAGCTTCGAAATCTGCTTGGAGGGCAATTCAGCGAACCTGAGCTATTTGAGCTTCTCGCAAATGAGAGCAACGTCAAAGCCAATCAATAATGCTCAGAAGGTTTTCTAACAAACTCGATGCGAGTCATGCGACTCATCACACCAGAATTCCACCTTGACATTGTGTTCCAAACAACCGCAAACCGCAACGCGATCCAAGAACTGCGGTCTGCGACCGCAAACGCAGTCCACAAACCGCAATCTGGGGGGTTCTAAACCGTGGTTTCCAGATTTCGGTCGTTGGGACCGCGAACCGGGCGGGCAACCCACACATGATGAACCGCAAACCGCACATCGCGACCGCCCAGTCCGAGTCCGCAGCCTTGCGGTCTTTATTCGGGGCGCCAGTCCCCGTCGGTTACCACCCGGCAGCCTTGACACTAGTAAATGGCTCCACCGGGTAACCCGAAAGTGGGTGGAAATGGTAGCCAACAGGCCATATAAGACGTCTGCAAAGTTTGGTGGACGCGCCCGCGGTGGCCCATACGGTCTGCTCGCTACTGGGCGCTACATATTTTGGCTGGGCGTCTGCGCCCCCGGGCTAGCCTAGCGGAGCATGCTTACGTCACCTCGCGTGCGCCGCCTTGCCACCTGGCGGTGTTACCGGTAGGGCGGTACCTAGCCGTCAATTACGGTCGCGAGTGCGTGTCTCGCAGTCTTACACTGGCGCAATTCTCAGCCGTCGTTTGGCGGACGAGAACTTATATTAGTTATACCTATTAGTTGAAGCAAGTCGGAGCCGTCGATCACATTCCTCGATTTGACCCCGCGACTTCGACTCGGCCTCAGTCTAGTTTGCAAGCAACCAACCGCCTGCCTGCCTGGCACCTGCGCGAAAGGAGGAGCAGCAATGCAGTACTAGTAGGCACCAGCACGGTGGCAGGGGCAGATTAGTTGTGAGGCGCTTGCTTCAATTGGCGCCATCGACATTTGAGCTAGAGGCCAAGACAATATGGCTGAGGCTACTGTAGCTGCGGATGCGCCCAGCACTGCCCCCGACGCTGCGCCAGAGGGGGATCACAAGGTGGCGAGCAAGGGGGAGCGGACGGAGCGTGTGAAGCGCCTGGACAGACCGAATCGTGCAGCTTTGGAGGAGGAAGTTGCGAAGCTGAACCAGACCGTTGACCAGCATCAGGCCAGAATTCAGGAGATCAAGGTTCTGATTGACAACAAGAAGGCGGGGAGGCAAGGTGTGTCTGGGGAGGTTGCAGAAGCTCGAAACAAGCTCAATGAGCTTGTGAATCATTACAAGGCACTGATTGAGGAGAAGAACTCCATCAAGGAGGAGTTAAAGTACATCGACCAAGCTAGGGAGAAGGCCCGGGAGGAGGCCAAAAGCTTGAAGTCCAAACTGCCTTATGTCAGGTCAGCCGCTCTGGTTGCTTAGATAACCCCAATCTGTATGTTTGAATGTAGAAAGAGTTGCAATCACTCCTATTGGTCAAAGGCAATCAGAGCCTATCAGCTGGAGGTGGTCTTATGTGGTCTCGTTTTGCAGCACTCATGACGTAATTGTGGGCCAAACCTCCAATGTGTTCCTCTGAGTGTGTTGGTAAAGGTCAGCTCAGGAGACTCAGGCAGGAGTACCGCTGTTGATAGATCTAGCTTTGAGCGCCCTTCCTTGACGGATGGTCTGCTCGCATTGTCGCTCGCTTGCAAGCTTTCTTCGATTTTTAAGCATACAAAATCTTCATCAGAAGCTCTCTTGAAGTTAGCGGCGTCAGCACTCACGATGCGGAGGACATACCTCTGGCAGAAGACTTTTCTTTGACGAAGAGGATTCTCCAGTCCCTTGGCTGTGCCGTTCTGGACATTATTCATCCTGCCACATTCAGGGAGATCTGATTTGATCATCTACTTTATGTCTTTACAGCTCACAATGGATCAATGCACTGTTTTATGATTCTCCGTTGCCCATGGCTTTACGTGGCTCCCACCTGACCACATTGTTAGATGAACTGAAAGTGCTGAAGCTGAGAGAAGGCAGTATCTTCGGCTTTCAATGTCGTCCACAATCCTGATTTGCTTTCTGCCAACAATTGTGAACCGAGTGTTGCTATTTGGTTTTGCCTGCTAGCCCTGAATTGCCTCCCAATTGTCGTAAAACCTGTGTGGAAGTCTCCGTACATTATCGTACGTTATCTAAGCATTGCCTTTCTGGCTGCCAGGGTTGAACAGATTGATGAGGAGGTCAAGAAGCTGGAGTACAAGATGCACCACACGTCGCTGACCATGGCCGAGGAGAAGCGGACCATCAGCCAGATCAACGAGCTGACCAAGTCACGCGAGTTTGTCAAAGTGTACAACGAGCGGATGGACAAGCTGTCGGGGGAGGAGTCGAGCAGGGGCGAGGTGCTGGAGCGCATTCGCCAGAAAGACGCGCAGATCAACGCGATCAAGGCGCAAGAGTCAGAGCAGAGGAGGCTGCTCAACTCCATCCGGGACAAGGAGCAGTCACACACAGCTGATATTCCGGGCCTGCATCAGGTGGGACAGTATTCCCTGATCAGTTGCTCAATGTGAGCTGCACCAAGGGCTTGCTAACAGGTGGTGCTCATGAACAGATTCAAAGGGATGGGGCAAGAGTGCGCTGTCAATAAAAAAAAGTGTGGCGCCTAACTCAACACATGAGCAGAAAGTGGCGCCTGGCTTGTCAATAGCAGTTTGGTCTGAGCTGTGTCCATTTGTTGCGGTGGAAAAAAGCCAAGTGAGCATAGCAATCCTGTCAGCTTGTTGGGAAGTGATATCAGGTATGATGTTCGAATTGGCAGGAACGGAGTGAGCTGTACGACAAGATCAGTGAGCTGAAGAAGCAGGGTTACGAGTTGAGACAACAGTTCAGGGCCAAGGAGCAGGAATGGTGAGGACACAAACTTCCTGTCAGCACCAGTCAGGTTCCAAGTGCGTCTCGCCTGACATTTTCTGCAGCTGATAAGCAAAGGTTGAGCGCTATGTCCGAACTACTACTTCGCTGTAGTTCGGAAGGAAGGCTTCTCGATGGTTGTTGAATCCTAGACAAGGATGGTTTAGTTGCAAAGCAAACAGAAGGCGCTAGTGCAAGCGCCCAATGCCAGTTGGCGCATCATCACGTCTGGATTCATGTTGGAAAATGGGGCCTCACAGGTTCCACTTAAGGTCACCTTTCAGTGTTTGATTGTCAGGGGCCCTAGTGGTTGATCAATTTGGGATGGGCGACACTAGTACCCACTTGCATTCTTGTTGATGTGGGTTGGTAAAATGACAACGGAAGGGGGTGCTGGCTGTGGCAGGTACGAGCGGGAGCAGGAGTGGCGCAAGCAGGAAGGGGAGCGGCGGAAGGCGCAGCGCGCGGTGTGGGACGCGGAGCGCAAGGTCAAGGAGGAGGCGTGGAAGGCGCGGCAGGCCGAGAACTTCGTGGAACCGTACACTGACGAGATCATCAAGTGCGATCAGCTGACCGCCATGCTGCAAAAGTATGCGCCTGCGCAGGCGGCCGCTGCCGCGGCCCCCAAGACCGAGATCAAGATGCCGGAGGGCGTCAGCATCTTGAAGAAGGATCGGGATGCAGGGATGGACGGCTGGTTCGGAGGGCTTGGGGGGGGGTCCAAGAAGGGCAAGAACAAGGGGGGGGGCGCAAAGGACAAGAGCACGGAGAAGCTGTCGCTGTCGCTCGACGCGCTGGCGTCACTGCAGAGCGTCTCGGTGGCAGCGCCGCTGACGGTGGGCGATGTGATGGGAGCGATTGAGAAGGTGAAGGAGAAGAAGGTGCACTATCAGGAGCTGCAGAAGGAGGAGCGGGTGAAGAGGGAGGCCAAGGCTGCGGCGGAGAAGGAGGGGGTGGTGGAGAAGGAGGAGACGGAAGGAAAGGCGGAAGGGGACAAAGAGGAGGATGAAAAGGAGACGAAGGAAGAGGACGAGGCAGATGCAAATGACGCCGAAGAAGAGACAGATGCCGCCAGCAAAGGGGAGACTAAAGCGCCTGAGGCCAAGAAGGTCGAGGCAAATGGGGTTGCGAAGGTAGAGAAAAAGGAGGATGCGGCAGAGGAGGCGGCGGAGGAGGCCGAGGAGGCCGAGGAGGCCAAGGAGTAAACGAGCTTTGCGCCGCTTGATGGAATGCGGGTCCGTTTGCAGACCTGCAAGAGTCTCGTTCTCGTTCGAAAGGGGTGTTGCCCTTTTAAAGTCACGGGTAGACTACCGTACACAGTTCTCTTTAGAAGGCAAGCTTCAATCAGCGGGTGAATTACGCCCACTTTGGCGCCTACAGCTTCCCATCTTTACTCATTCCAATTTAGTACCGCGTTCGCAGAAAGTTTCTCTGCAAGTGTCATGAGGCACTGGTCCTGATTTTGAGCGACCTAGATACTACTTTCTGGCTGGACGGCCCGCCCGCCCCCCGCGCCCGCCTGCCTGCTTTCAGTTATGCAATCCAATCCGGCCATCTGAATGATTGCCATTTCAACTCATGAATCTGCCGGAATCACGTCAGTCGTACGCGTTCAATCTATAACAAAGTTCGAGAAGCTTAATTCTCAATGAGTCTGCTTTGTCGTGCACCGTTAGCACCCCGTGACACATGTTTTCGACTCCATGCCCGTGGCCGGCATGATGCATGATTCAGTGACCATGAGTGGAATCGGAATATATTGTATGCCAGGCGGCCGCCAGCTGATCGAATCAGCTCATGCAGTCATTGTATAATATGAGTATTGTAAGTAATACAAGCTACCTATGGTGGGTGTCGGCGGTCTCGATCGCGCGACGGTACCGTCACCAAATTGACTCACCAGTGTTACGCGTCGCGACATTTCATGTACACAGTACTGACGACCGTACTCGCCCGTACTTGAGAATCCGGTCCGAGTTCATGAATTGGAAATTGTCTGACTTGTCGACGAACGGTAAACTCCGGAATATT